GTCACCGCTCCCGATTGGATACCAGAATCGCAGAGATACGAACTCTGTTGCCACATCATAGTCTGCTCTTTCACAGACATCATTTCTTGTGGATGCGAATTGTTGTATTGCTGGTGTTGAGGCACTGTAAAAACGCACATGAGAAACAAATGATATAAACTTGTAAAAAATTTGAAGTAATCTCAATGACGAAACAAGTACTTACTGCCTCGATTTTGCACTGGATTGTAGCTCATGACGACAATCTCACGTTAGATTGCTCTGAGAAAAGTTTACTCTGTAAATAAATTACAAGAAGATTTGGTTAGAAATTTAGGGAAAAAAAATGCCAAGTTCATATAGTAGTAAGTCTCCATTTCTTCAAGAATCGCAATGAACTCCCATACTTTTTTTGCAAGAAAAAATGCACTTTTCATTCATCATTCAAGAAAATAGATATGCCAGCCATTGGAATACAATATTCAATGCAAGAGTTCTATTTTTTGAAGTTTGTTTGGACAATAAGTACCAGAAGGCTTGATCAAAAATTGCTCAAAATAAATCTGAAACTATTTCAGACTGATCGAACTAAAATTGGGGACTTTTATACATCTGAATTATATTGAATCTGTTTCAAGATATCGTTCAAACAAAAATCCCGGTTGGGTACGTGAGCGGCGCCACACACATCACAATTTTCAAGATTTTTCACGTAAAACAAAGCATTTTTGATGGATGTAAACACTTGGTCAAACAAAACAAAAATAAATCGGCCATGTTTTTTTAGCTTCGTGCACTTCGTTTACAGCACAGGTCGAATCACGTCTTGTATAGAACCGAGCACTGTCTCCACACACACCCTCAATTCAATGTTTGATTCAGCCTTTCTCAACACAATACACAACAAATACAACATTTTCACTTTAATTTTTTTCTCGTATTTATCCGATTCAATGAATATTCTTACCAATATTCTTTCCGAATATAGAGAAAATGAACTATTTATTGAAATTTCTTCTGTTTGTTTCTCTTTCTTGTTTCTGAGATCCAATTTTGTGTATCAGTACATTCACAACGTTGCGCTGCTCGTATCGTACTAATACACAAAGTGTTATTTTCAATACACAGGTCTGTGAGAACGCTGTTCTTCTCTTTCTTGTCTCTCCAATGGTTTCTGTTTGATATGGCCGCTTTCGTGAGTGTGTTAGTATTGCTACTCTCTTGCTCACGGTACGTGTATGTCTGTGTGTGCTTTTGTGCATCATACGCGACTAAATGTAGAGTTCGAAGCATATTTCGAGAGTGCGTTCCCAAACCGTTCATTAGCCGTTGTAACATTTTGACAGTTTTCGATTTTGTGTTATTATTTTTGGAAATTGTGGTTATTTCAACATCACCAGAATTATGAAATGAATGAAATACCACATTAGGATGTTGAATTTTTATTGAGAGTTAAAATTCACTTTTCAGTTTAAATCAAATGTGAATTAACGATAAAAAGAATCGAAATTCGTCGTATACCGCAGAAACTGTTTGACTCTAAGGATTTCGGATCGTCAGCGCTGAAGAAAACATCAAGTTTAAGGTCGATATTGCGAATGATGATTTTAGAATGAAATCTAAAATTTTGACCAAATGAAGTTCGTTTTGCATAATGCATAAGCAATGATTAGCAATAATACAGCGTCCTTCATCGGAAATATTTTACTTAATTCCATTGATTTATTTGGGATTGCTCACATTGTATTAATAAACTTATGGTAATATTCGTTTTTTTTTTTAAATACAAAAAAATTCGCAGTGATCTAGCATTTTTATTTTTTGCAAAGTTCATAGTGCCATTCTTTTTTTTCAATGGTATATCATGTGATTTTCTGAAATTACGATTGAGGATTTGATTATGTGTCTTGAATTCGGAATACATGCAGCTAAAAACAGCACCGTCGTATCCAATATTTTGCTGAGGGATATTTGATGAATGGTCAATTTACCTCTGCTTTCCATCTCTCTCATTATTATTATTCGCAGGCGTTTCATTTTTATTATTCAACACTATATTCAAAAAGACAGTGATTATTTTCAATGTAAACACATTCAATCTGTTCAGAGTTTCGATAAATCGCTGCAAAAAGATCTAAAACGAAAAAGTCGTCTTATTTATTCTTGCTTGAATGTTAATCAAATTGCAGAGAAAACCCATGACACTAAGTAAACACACCTCGATCAAAGCATTGTCATGCAGACTATGAACTATCGCCATTTGGGCTCACGTAAAGGAAACCATCACCAAAATCAGCCAAAAAAAAAACGGTTGTCAACGCTCCGGCGAATCAATGATTCATAAAAATGCGGCATCGGCAACAATAAAAAATGGAACATTAATCAAGAAGGTCAACGATTTCATTTACTTGGACCTTTCGTTAGAAGAAATCGTTAAAGTCGATGAGAATTTATTGTTTGAAATAGTTTATACACTCCGAGTCAATAGGTTAATTACGAGGCATAAATGCTTAATTAAAGAATTGTAAGTGTTTTTTTTTTCGAAAATACACATTTGAAACTGCAAAATAGATAAATAAAACAATTTCTGCATGAGGCCTACACAATAACTATGTCGTGAGTGACTAACTCACGATTAGATTGAATGCCTTTCGTTCTTCATTTAACTTCTTATCATTTACAAAAAATGACCGAAACTATAATTAAATATCGAAATAAATCCGCTGTTCATTGGGAAAATTGAATTTTCCGTTGATTAAATTTTTCAGAATATATTCATGCAATTGAATGGTTGCATTCATACACGCATTCCTATAAACGTTACCCATGTTGTGAATATTCAATGGGTTTCGGGTTTTAATTATTGTGTTCCAATTTTACGAGCTTGCGAATGGGATTTATTAAAAAATAAAATCGAAAACTAATTACGGCACATATTATCAGCATGCATACCGTGTGAATACAAGTGGAACATTCAACGTAAATACACATGTTCATTCGAATCAAAAACCAACGTCAATTCTACGAAACTTTGCAATGGGAAAACTTTATCAATTCATCTGTTAACTATGTGGAGTGGCATAGAGTTAAAATGAAACACCAAAGCATGTGTTTACAAGCATTCTTCTCGCTCTGTACTGTACATCGAACAAAAACTGGTTCATTCTTTCTTCCTGTCGTTTTTCATTGGCACGTGTTATAAAATTGCAAAAAATTTTATGAAGTTAATGGAATGCTGCATCTGAATAATGTAGGGGAATGTCTTAATGAGTGGACCACATAAGGATTAATGTTTATAAAATCATTATTTGAAAAGCAATATTGGTGTTTTATACATTAATGTTTAGCTAATGTTACTACCTAATTGTCACAAGTATCAGAAACGTTTTTGGTTTAGTTTCAAAAAAAATATTGCCTTCGGCCAAAAACCCTTGTTTTTGGCATATCCAAAATTTGTATTAATGAGTGGACCACTTTGCGAATACTTCGAAAATGGCTCAAAATCAAAGAAATACCGTTCAATTTCAATATTTATTGAATGTTTATTTATTGTATTGAAGAATAGAAGATATAAATGTATTGATACGCCAACTCTCTCAGCTCACTTATGCTGAGTCCGTAATAGTGCTTGCAACACAGCAGAATATATCCAACCAACATGTTTTCCGATTTTGGATCGAAAACCTGAGAAGAAACAAAAGCAAAACGTATTTTATAAACACTGACTGTAAAAAAAGAAGTCATTAACTTACCAACAACGGTGGATTACGCCTTGCGTAGCTGCGCAGAATATCCTTGAGATTACTATCGGGAACCGCTGTAATATCGGGTATTCCACTGTCCGATTTCTGCATGTATCGGAGTAAATTGGTTTTCGGAATGTTGTAACGCGCTGCGGTGGGTCGCACTTTTTGATTTCCCAACTTAATACCTTTCACCGCTTGGAGCTAGGGGGTAAGAACACAAGCGCTTGAGACGAATTCGTACGAATTTTCGTGAATTCTTGTAGATTGTGTATACGAGACATTCGCAGCGCAGTGAGTGTACAACAACAATAACAAAGCCACGAACGCATGAATTCATGCGAATACATACGAATGACACAACTTGTTCCTAGCCCCTAGGCTTGGAGTAAGTAATCATAATTGGTTCCGACTGATTTTTCAGGTTGTTTGGTTTTTTTTCCACTTGATTTCTTCGACGACATACTGATAATTTATCTAAAAACAAACAAAAATATCAGTATAATGCTATAAAAACACTTTAAAACCAGTTCAGTGACAATACACGTTCATACAAATGAAAAATAAGCAATAACAAAGAAAAAAAAATGGTGGTCCACTCATTAATACAAAGAATGGTCCACTCATTAAATAATGACGCCATTTTGGTGTGACTCACAAAAAATTCCCAAACATTGCAATCATTGTAAAATACATTGGAATAATTATTTTAATGTCTAAACTAAACAAAAAAACCAAACTTACCGTAAAAAAAGTCAGTTTTTGAAGTTTTCTGAATCTCAGGCGAACTCACAATATTACTAATTCGATTTTTTTCACACTTTTTTCTGCGCACAACTGGTTCAAACACAAAAATGCACGTTTTCGCTCCGGCATTTGATATATTATGGTTTTGCGGCAATACAAAACTGATAGAAGCAACCTTCTGACATTTCGACTTTCACTTCATAGAGATCTGTCAAGTGGTCCACTCATTAAGAAATTACCCTAATAATAAATATTGGTGGTATCCAGGTTTTATACCGATAAATGTTGTCGTTATTGAAGTGAACCTCTGAACTAGCCTCCGTGCATTGTTGTAAATTCAACGCTCTCCCGTTCCCGTTTTTCTCGTCTTTTTTAGTGTTGGAATGAAAATAACGACGCAAAATTATATGATCGGCATTTTTGTTGTCGCTATTCGAATGAGGACTTCATTTGCATTACCAGCGGGTATTTCAAGTAATTCCAATGGCAATAACATCAAGCTATAGAGCATTTATTGGCCAGAGAAGTATCGAAGCATATACTTCTCAAACACGGTATGGATAAACTAAAAAGACCAAATATCCGCTGTAAAAAAGTTGGATTATGATAAAATCAATCGAAAATTACTTTGTCACTTGTATTTGGATCACATCCAAACGTTGCAGCATGGCCAAAAAGCAACTATTGCGTCAACGGTTATAGTTATGAATAGCAATGGATCAAGCGATAAATGTTCAATTTCCGTTCAATGTCATCCATCGTCGTCCAGAGAGAAACATGTACAAAATGCAAACACAAGTGCTTTAATTTGTGCGATAAACTTTCACACATCATTGTCTGAACATTGACTCCCGAAAGTGGATTACTTTTTCGGAGCGGAAAGAATGAGAAAAACTAGGCACAAAATAGAGAGATTGAGAGAAATTGATCAAAAAACTCATTTATTATTCGGGTCATGTACGGATGTTCATTCGAAAATCTCACAACATTAAGGGCTGTGTAGCTAAAGTCCTCTTCATAAAAGAATGCATATTGGACATGCAAGTGATATGGTATCAATCGTCACAATCATCCCTGTGCCACTACTACTCTTGAGATACTCTAGAAACAGACATTTATGCTAACGGACACAGAAATCAGTCGTGTGCGAGATGCATTCCATTTAACCTCCATTAAAATCCGAATGACAGACGCAAAACATCTCAAGCGAAACTCATGCGGGTCGTTCGGTTTTATACATCGGTGACATTACATTTTTTCATCGTGTGCTAATATTCCGTTGCAAGCAAAAAATTGTTGACTAAATGATTCGCATTCACTCGTTCTGACATTTTACCCTACGATTTCATCTCCCATTTTATAGTTTTTATTTCGTCACAAAACGCGCAATTTATTTGCTTTTATCATAAAATGAACAGTCGCACACGCACAATGGGAAATTGTGTTTATCAACGTCAGTTTTAATGGTATTGAAATGCTAATGGACGATGAAAAAAAGAAAAAAGAAGAAAAAAAAAACACTTGATTTGCGTAATATTTCGTTATACAATGGTATTGATATCCTAAGACAGCTATATTGAGTCTGGGCAAAATAAATATTGCAAAAGACAACCAACTAGAAAAACATTACTACATTGTCATTTATGATGTGAAGCGTTTTCTTTGGCGGTGTTTCTTTCACCATTTCATTTTATGAATTTCCCAAAATAAATGTAATTTTCCTCCATTAGCCGTGAAACTCATGCTGCGTAACATTTCCACTATCGTTTTCATCATCAGAAATTCCACCTTAGCATTTTGCATGTATCATTTTTGCATTCGACACTGTCTCGCTAATTAATAATCACATTGTGTGATATAATGGTAATTTTTGCTGGCTTCAAATTGGACTATTAATAAATTATTTGGCTCTGTTTACCTGACGGTAATTCATGTGATAATGGGAATTCTATAAAAGTATCGAATGTACGCATCATATGGATTTTTCACGAAAAATGGCAATAGCTCACGTTTTATTATATTGACAATTTCCAACAACTGGATTGAAATAGATAATATCTCTTTACGGTTTCCATTGAAATGAAAACACACAAATGGACAAAAATAGTATTATCATGGAAATCAATTTCAAATAGATTCATCAAATCCGAGAAACTATTAGTTGCTTTGCAAATGCGACGTTGATCATATTTTTCTATTGAAATCATCCGAGAGACTAATATGAAATATCTCTTTGTTCATTGAATCCATACACAAAGGATAGTTCGACTTGGTTAAAATAAATTTCCACAACCTTGATATATGCACAATGTTACATCAGTGATGTTGGTTTTTCGTTTAAAGTGAGCCAGATCCAAGTCCTTGTGCTCATCGGTATTCAAAATTGTAAGTGTTTTTGTTCTCTGATTGTGAATTTAGTTCATTGCAATGTGTTATCGTGATTAAAATTGATTGGAATAAGAAAATGATTGTAAATCGTCTACTTTAAGCACAAATCTATGGTTGAGATTGAGAGTGGAGGATGTTACATGGATTTTGTTATGGATGTGGAGAGTATGTTTCTGTCAACTTAGAAATGATTATATGAGAACATTTTCATTTTCAAGCGGGTTGTCGCGGTTTTTCCTTGTGTTTCAGCAGAACTGTTAAGAGATAACATTTGGATGTCTTCGTCAAAGCTTGTGAAACTCTAGGTGCGAATAAACGCAGAAAAAATAAGAAAAATACATTCTTTATACAATTTGTTCTTTTTGTGCAAGCGATAAGACATAACAGGCAATCTTCTCCAGTAAAATCATAGAGCGCTTCAAGTTCTACAATTTAATTGTAGTTCAACTACTTTGCCGAAGGCTCCCTTACCAGTTCCGCTGAAAATGCGGAAAACCACAAGAACCCGAGGCAAAGAAGCATACTCTCCTTTAATGCCAACAGAATCAATCATCGAAAACATTGCCGCCCTTTCAGAAATAAATAAATCGAAGAAAAAACATACTCTACTCTCAATCTCATCCATAGAATTATATATCGATCCGTTGTGTTTTCCCAATAAAACCGTCAAATGCAGTTTATAAGTGAATGAGATAGCAAGAGATCACGTATAAACCTTGATTCGAATGAAAAGCTTTTCATTGGTTATTCTATTCTATCGTTGTGTATGAAATCGCGTTTTTGCGTTACAAAACATTCAATGTGATGACTCACAATTGTCATGTGCGCAATTGAATCCATTTAAAAGTTTCGCAAAATGGAACAAATTTCAATTGTCATTCAATACGAAGGAAAAATAAACAAATTTTTTTCCCTTGCACATATTCAAAAGTGGTTGACAATGCTCAAATAGGGAACAAACACACGCACATTCACCATACAATTAAATCGTGATAATAGTATAATGAAAGTTCAATGTTTTCCGCCACCCTTTCGTTGACGCAATCGTTTTCCAAAGCCTTGTCACAATAACCACCTGTTGGTTGTTAATACCATGCTTTCCATTACGTTCAACCGCATAAATGTCGAGACGAACGACGGTTGCTGTCTTTGTGGAAATCAATCTGGCAACAACGTAATGTTTTCTCTTCATAGCACATTGTTGTCGGTATGCGTTGATAATCGCATTGTATGCAACCCGTTCATCATATCCTTGTCCCTTGTTACAAAGCATAAATCATAATTGATTTGAAGAAAAAACGTCGGCAACAGTCAATTCATAGAACTCAATTGCTGTTTTGATGACAATATCGACCAACTCTATGGAACCATAACCGCTCATTTCATTCTTAACGTTGTCGTCAATGTGGCAATAAGTGTCCACATTGGGCCCGTATCGAAAAAACATGACAAAATTCTTGGAAATGCCTAAAAAAAGGAAGCAAATACCAAGGTAGAAATTATAGTGCGAGTGAAAGTAAATAGTAAACAATGAAAAGCGGCAGCGACGGCGGCATCAGAACGAACGAACGTATTATGCTTTCCAATTTCATTCAGTGTGTACTACCGACAATAAATGGATTTGCGCATGTGTCACGTGCGACCAACAGCGGATAAATTGCACTAACTGTCGATTGTATGCTCGTCAGTTAAGTAACAGTGTATTTCCAGTACATTCCAGCCATTCGTTGAGAAAAGCTTACCAAAAAACCATACGAATATTTGATGATCAACAGCACCCGTGTCGTAACATACAAAAACATTGTGTCGACCACAGCACAAACATCAGTATCGTGCTGAATGTCATACCAAGCGGAAGCTTTTCAACATTCGTCCAACAATCGCTCGAAACCCTAACATGAACATTCATCGGAATTTATATACCCAAAGATATAAAATATTCAGTCTAAGGCAATTAGAGTTGCTCAAATTGGAAACAATAGCAAACAATCAGCTATTGCGAATGGAAGAAAACCAACCCCAAAACACAAATGGCACGTCGATATTTTTTTTTCTTTTTCGTAACAAAAAATATGGATTCCGTAACAGTATTTGTTGAACATGTGCAAGTGAAACAGAAGTATTCCTGATTAACGTTTTACTTTTGATGAGTTTGAAATAAGATCAAGCGTGTAGATTCTTTTTTTTTGTAAAAGGTTATCAGATAAAAGTTTTCATAAAGAAAAATGCATTGAATGGGTGTGACTGCTAAAAATCACGATGCGTATGGTTTTCATTCAAAGGAAATAGTTTTTTTTTTGCTTGAAAAATTATTAACTTGAAAAGTGATGGACCAAACGAAATAAATTACTTTGTGAAAAGTTAAACGCACTGACAGGGATACGCTCGGTGGTTAGTTTTTTTTTTCGTCTGCGTAGTTTCGAGAAAATTAATTTTCAGCCATAAGTCAAACAATATGGTAATGTGAAAAGTTTGTAATTAATCAAGATATTACGACGGTCAGTGGATATTTGATGCATTACGGTGCTGTGGTGAACGACTTTTTAAAGAAACCACACTGACATAAACCACACAAAATGGGTCGACATCGTTTAAACACAACAATCAACACCTAATTTAATCGTCAAACTAACCCAGGACGTGTATGATCACACAGACTAACCGCATAACGAAAAGCTTATGTAAGTGTCTATTCTCTCTTTCTTCTTGTTCTTCTCTTAAACAAATTCGAAATAATAAAAATCAGATTTAACGCCGCGGCGCAGTATCGTGGACGTGATCAACAACACACTGCATTTGTTCCATCCACTTGAAATAAATTGCCGTTGAATTGGTGCAGTTGATATTCGTTAATTTACGCTCATGACCACGAATACATTGTCGTTGATATAGCAAAACTTGACCATTTTGGCACGTTTTTGTGAGACATTGTGGATTTTCATCGCGATTACACTCAATTGGTATTTATCGTTATGATTGTTGTCGCGAACACAAGATTTTTCTTTCAGCCATCAAGTGCCAATTTAAAATCGAGATGAAAAATGCAGTCGTTGCCAAAAATACTCGATTGTAGCTTCGCCAAAAAACCTTTTCGATCACACGTTTAAATCAAAATTATCATCCCAAATTTGCCAAATCCATTAAACGCGACATAACCCAAACCATACTTTACATTTCGATTGTAAACACACATTACTCAATTTAACTGAATTTACAGTACACAAGCGATGTTTCATAGCGACTATACAATCCACAACATTTCACGGAGGTTCTGCCACTGTATATGCTGATAAATTGTATGGTAGAATGATTTGCCGTCATCTGTAGAATCATCTACTTACTTTCTGTGTGCAACATGGTGCAGAAATATCAACTTTATCCAGAACTTTTATTCCTTTAAGCCCAACTCTTTGCGAACTAAAGTGTGGATAAAAGCGAAGAACTTCGGATGAAAGTCAACTAGATCAGAGTGAAAATGGAATTTCAACGAAAATATTGACAAATTACTGGGAAATTGCAGACAGAAAGAGAAACATTAGCTGATGAAATTCCCGTTCGTAAAAACACAAATCCGACATTCGATGCGTTGCTTTGGTCGAATTTACTTTCAACATTTCTTTTGATCGTCATATTTCAATTAAATAAAATATTCAACTGAATTCAAAAAGTGACGAAGAATCTTGCTGCAGCATTCATGAATCAAAATTACATTGCACTAAAAATAAATTGAAACATTTTTTTCTCCATCCTTCTCAATAAACTCTGAATGAATTCTGATGAGTGGATATCGTTTCGCCCTTCGCATTGTTGAATGTTCATTGTTTCTCCATCAATTGACACATCAAAGTTGATTGATGAGCGCATTTGTATCGAATCCAAACAGAATCTCGCCTTAAGGCAACAACAATAAGCACATAATTTCATTTTCGGCATTTTAAGAAGTTTTACTGATTTGCAACAGGAAAAAAACGGCAGAAAAACGAATTTTCCTGAGTGAGTTACTATCTTTTTAATCTGGTTGGTTTTTCTTTTCGATTTAAGTCCAAATGAAGTGTAAATACGGAAATCACCCTTTTTAGCTGTGATACGGAAACCGAATAAATTTTGAATTCAAAAATTGTAACAGTCTTGCACTCTTTTCCGGCCAAACCTCTAACAAAACCCACATTATATTCAGCCAGAGCTTGGCGGTGTTTATTAAAATAAAATAAATAAATTTTGTAGGCGGCAAGAAGAACGGATATAAAGTTTATAAAAAAAAAATTGGGAATGGGGCCCTAAGTGATGAATATTTAAGAAACCTTTTATCCAAAAGGCATAATGGTTTTCGGTGATTTAGCAAGTTTTTCATTGGCTTGGATGTTTTTGGCTGTCAATTCAGTAATTCGATGGAAAAAAAAAGTGGAAAAGTTTTCCATCTGCTTTAAAACGTCAATCCTAATTAGTTGCCACGTTTTTCTCTCTCTGTAGAGTACGTACATGGGACGAGTAAATTAGCCCATAAACTTTGCTGGAATATAAATGGGATTTCACTTTATGTCAATTACGACATTAATTTCATTCACTGCGTAGTGTGAACGCCAGCAATTTTATGGAATAGTGATTATTAACAAAGTTTGCGATTCGCAAATTGCGAGAAAAAAAAACCAAAATGTATAGCTGTCGTTCGGAAACAATGCTGTTGAGAGAGAGAGAGAGAGGAAAGGAAATACTAGAAGAACTAGCAAAAAAATTGCACGCCTCGCATGATACGTGCGAATATGTGCCAATGGCTATTAAACACATAACTGCACTATTTTTTTCATTCCATGGAAAGCATATTCGAACCGCATTGGTTGGAATTTATTGATTGCAATCGATGAAAGAAGTGCCTTTCACTTCATCATACGGTTATCGTTTGATTGTTAACAAACACAGCGCTCGAAATACAGTTAATTTAATGTTATTAGGACATTATGGCGTTGTAGAATGGCCATATCGCAGTGAAAATTCTACTGAATTGTACAGAGTATGTTATACAGTACAGTACTCGTTGGAGAATGGTACAGAACAGGTGTATGCATACTTCGTACGGAGAATCGCCGTACGTGCGTTGAGCAACTTTATGAAAACGGAAATGTGATAATTATAACGAATGTGGTGCACTTGACATTCCAGTTTGTTTTCTCTTCATTTCAAGCCACCCGCAGGGAAAGATGAATAAATTAATTTCAACAACTTGATTAAAAAAAATGAATAAACAAAAAAGTTTGTGTATGCTCATAGAATTGATCAGAGAGCTGTTCCGGATACGATGGTAAAATGTCGAACAGAAGTTTAACTACGATGGCATACATATGCCGAGTAGTACGATATTCACCGAGTAGTTCAAAGAAAATTGGGGTTATTGGTTATACCGCCAGATAAACAGGTTTGAGGCGGACAAATTGTACTCAATTTGCATATTCGATCGTTTAAATTTTCAATGTAAATTTCAATGAAAATCACTTGCACCAAATACGGCATGATACGGATGAACACGGATTTTCCGCCCGAGAACAACTTTTTAACTGCCAATAATTAAATAATTGCCGTAAAATCAAAGTTGTGTTTGATTGCTTGTTCCTCAAGACTACCGCGAACAACTTTCAATTCGTGCAGCAAAATCCATTGATTTTACCATTTGGATACATGAATTGAAACATTTCACGTGATGTCTAAATATGTTCATTGAATTCTTAATAGGCTTATTTACAAAATATAATTGAACGAACAACAAAAAATTGATTTGATTCTCCGTTTTCAATTAAATACAAATTGATTGAAGCAAGAATTCGCATATTGAATTCGAATGCTGCATGAAAAGAACGCAGCAGGCCGTGAAAGTATACGTAACTTCAAAAGTTGGTTGCTGTGTCCTTGGAAATTGCTTATAGCGACAATAAAGATAGCGACCTTCCCATTAATACACATTTCTTTATTTAACTAAATTTATCTTCGCCCCCGAAACTTTGATCGCTTTCGCTGACATTGGTTTGGTTAAACTTTCGAATATCCCATCGAAAAATGACGAGGAGATAAAGAGAGATATGAACTCAATCATTCCTTTCATCAAATGCTATGGTTCAAATTTCGCGTAAATTTCGCTTCTTTGCTAAGTTTACGAAAACCATTGTCAGTTATCGGAGAAAAAGATTCATTCACAAAAATGCCGAGATATCTATGGTTTTCTTCGTTCAATTTTTTTTCTCGGGACTTGAATCTTGATTACCTTCAGCCATTCTTCCCCTTTAATGTTCCAAATTTCCATAAATAATTCTAATTCAATATTAAAAATTCATTGGGAATTTTGCGAACGCATTAGCCAAACTCAAGATTTAATCCAAACTTAAATTTCGTCATTATATGGCATCAACGTATCGCGATTTCATTGGGAGAGAAGGTTCAATTGTTAGTGATATATATATTGTTGCTTCCTTCGTCGACTTTGCTTTTGATTGTTGCTATACCATCAATTGTTTTTCGGTGGAAACGTTAAATCCCCTTTCAAATTGCAATTTGAAATTGTTTTCAGTGTTCGATATGTGTATAATGTGTTGGTGGTGTCGGTATTAAAACGATACCTGAGTCAATTGCATATCTATTTACAAAGCTGCTATTGAAACTCAAGTAACATTACAGCTTCGATCCGAAAAAGCATATATATGGGCGAGCAAACAACGTTGAATGATACTTACTCGACTAGAGTATTAAAGTCTTGATTTCTGTTGTCGAAGGTTTTGCTATTCTTTTAAAAAATCGTTTCTAAGCAACAAAAACGGTGTAACATTAGAAATATAGATACCAAACAAAGTACAAACCAAATAAAATGCAAAATACTTCAAAAAATGAAGAAAAATCAAATTTGGAGATGAAAAATGTGGAAAAATGTGACATAACCGCGTTCGGTGAGTGTTGCTGTGTCGTATCGTAATATTTGGTGGATGTTGTTCGAGGGTCGTCGTATGCTGTTGGCTTTCATAAACCAATTCTTCAGAAACGTTGGCGCATTCCCAAGAAATCATATGGAAAAGCGAGAATAAATAGTAAAATGGTAAAATAAAATCATTGCACACATAACGCAATTCATTCGCAGTTGCTTCGCAGTAAAATAAATTTCATTCGAACTTAGACTGAGTTCCGGGCTCTCTTGTGGCATTACAATTTCTATTTGCACACGCGATTTTTTCAACTACCACTGTTTCGGCGCTGCGTGCGATCGCTATTTCAATGATGTGAATCCAATAAAATGAGCAACCTTGTCAAATGTTTCCATTATGCGATATTTTTTCTCTCTCGCATCAATTTTCAATTTTTCCCCGGCGGAACTAGCGGAAGGTACTTTTTGATTATTGCCATTTTTTTCCTTCCTTTTCTTCCTTGCTCGTTTTTTTTCGCTAAACATTGAAACCTATTGTGTGAACCTATGTAGATGCTCGCCGATGGAACGAGACATTGGTAGAGAGTGCAAATAAAACTGACTTCATTTATATGCAAAGCACTCTGTGTATTCTTTTGTACACACAGTTTTTACTCATTTTTTCGACATTCGTTGAATCTCCATCTCGAAACGATTTGCTTGAAATTGCCTACGGAATTTTATGTATTTGATTTTTAACGAGGGAGTGTTTGAAATGGCCCTCGAATGATGGCATTTATTGTTTTTTGATTGTTTGTTCAATGTCGCCGGAAAAGAGCCAGGCCCAAAACGACTGCGAAAGATAAACAACACAGTCTTCGACAAAAAAAAACCTCAAACGAGATAAGCTTATTACATTTTTTCATGAAAAATCTCAAATTCAATTCCTTTTGTTCACACCATGCCCAACGTGGTCGGGTAAAAAAAACAATTGATACAACCTAGGATACCACCAAGTTTACTGTTGTAACATTAATTCCAGTGGATTCATGTAATGGATGTTTCTTTGTGCAGAATAAATACCAATTTGTGCTCTTTAAGACTTGCTCAACCAATTGGGAAGGTCATCTGTGCCTAGTGAAAATCAATTCACCAACTGGTTACATCCAACACAGTTGACACACACACCCACAAAATCACTGAAATTTACACTGTTGAACGATTGTGATTTGTATACATCGTTGTCATACGGCGGATATGGTTGCTTCTTGGAAATTAACGGCAGCCATAAACTTTTTTGCTTGGTGAACGTTTTCTCCTTTGCTCTTAATAGGAAGATTAATTACCTTTGATGTTCTACGGAAAGTATTTAAGTCGCTGTTTTCCGCATTATTTCACAATCCCTTTTACAAAAAGATCAGAAACACTTTCCAAACTCAACAGCCTCCGATTTCATGGAACGCATTTTGCCCACCAAAAAAAAGCTCACTAAAAATATGAACTCCTACGTTTTATGTTACAAACACCTTGAAAATGCAGACTTCAAAGTAAATATTGTATATTAAAATATCATAGAGTATGCTTAGAATATATTGTCAATAAAAAGTTAGTCTTATAGTCACAATCATTACAACCATTCTCAATACTTGATAGTAAACAAGTTATTCAACTCTGCGGGTGATTTGAAATAGGATACATTCTACAAATATTCAATGTGGCATTTTGCATCAATATATTCGATGCGAAGACCCATAGCCGCTGGTCCACACATTAAAGCCGACATTTACATCACAGAGTGCGATGCACATTTGTAAAAAAAAAATTAACCCAGAATTTAAAAACTCGGTTCACGTGAATTCGGGGATTTGGGACAGTTCGCTGCATGTGAGAATTCATGTAAACCGAATTTTCCATTTCAACCTGTTGATTACACCTAAATACTCTATCTCGCCAAAACCGAAATTGCGTATAAACAACATCGAATATTTCCCATCAGTTTTTCCACGAAATGAAAATCCCTATAACGCAATCTGCTCAACTCTCTACATGGTTGGCATTTCTAGTGTGGCCATACATTATTTAAAAAAACAGTGAATGAATGTATCTGAAATATTAGATAGTGTCGTTAGTATTGGATAGTGTCGAATTTTTTAAATTGAATAACATAAAACAATTAGTTGGTAGAGCGAGTATGTGGGAATTATTCAATGAACATATCATTTGTCTAACACAAAATGTTCAGAATTGAACAGATTAGATTCAAGCAATCATTGCATTGGGCCAAGCAGCCCTTTGCGCTTGGCCTTTTTTCCTATAAATAGTCGCGACATAGCGAGAAGTATTCAGTATTGATTTGGAAATGTTACCAAGAACATCGGTTTAGAATAAACGTTAAGAAAATGACGCTCGAGCATTTTTATTTATTTCATTTCTCCTTCAAATAAACAACACAAAATGTAACAACTGTTGTTAAACAACATGTGTATTAAATAGCGTAACGCAGTTCGAAAACATCACCCTCGTTCACTTCTTATGGGAAAGATGTGTTCGATAATTTATTGATGGGCGACAAGTGCACCACATGGACAAAACAAAAATTACGGGTTAACGCCGTTTTCGATATCAATTGTTGCCGGGCCTCAAATTTTGCATAACCATCAGCAATAACACTGTACTGGTATGTCAAAACTAAATTCGAACTGATATGGCAAACATGCGAAAACCGAGCATGCTCTACATCAAATTTCTCTAACGTATGTGCTTGTGTGTGTGCATGTGGATAATTTCGTTGCTATGCGGCTCTGACTGTGGGATATTCATATTTATTGCTACAAATAAATTGGACTCCAATGATCTAAAGCTTTTATGAACTGAGGTGTGAAACTATTTACTTTTTGTTTTGTTTGTTGCTAAAGCCAACCTTTTCATGACCATTCAAATGCTTTTGCCGAAATTCAACATGACATCAGTTCCGCGAAAAGCGCGAAAAATGATAAGAAAAAAAAAGTTCTATATAAAATTTGCTTTTTTATGTGCGCGATTTGCGCGCAACTAATAAGAGATAAAAGATCGATGTCTTAAGCAATGTTATAGAAGATCTCGAGTACTACAATTTCGTGGAAACCGTAAAAAACCGCGGAGGCTAGACGGGATGCCAACATACTTCCTTTTAACGCAGATAGAATCAACAGAAAACATACTTTCCTTTTCAAAAATATAAATCGACAAAAAAACATACATTCTTTTACGTCTCACGAATAGACATGATGTAGTATACCTTCATTTACAATGAGTCGAGGGAAAATAAATTGCATAATTTCAGTTGAACGATGTAATATGAACTGTAAACATTTCTATTTACTTGACTTTTTGCCGTTATTGGTTTCATGAATCATGATAGCCGCTCTTTTTCGCCTCCCTCTCGTCGTTTCTTGTTTGACTGTTTGCCACCAACCAGCCACCTGCCGTGTTTAATTTAATATTCGGTACTATCAGTAAACTTTGTCTGCGACACACGGCTGACGAGGGAACAGCAATTATCTTGATACATTGCCATCAATTGGTTTATCAACACTCGGACAGTCATTAATCGAGACGGTGACTCGGAGTAGCCAGGCCAACATGAAATCGTTTTTCTATACGACAAATTGAATTGATGACAAATGGATGTGGTTGAATTGTTCTGTTGCAGCGCCTGTCCGAGCGGGAGTTCCGGGAGTGCGGCGCACTGGGGCGCAAAAGGCGCGTGCGCGCCGAAGGCGCTCGTGCGCTTTATGTTAAAAATTTCTTTGGAAAAAGGATGCGCTTGATCGCCGAAGACGCTCTAGCGCTTCATGTTAGAATTTTTTTTGAAAAAAAAGGCGCGCAAGCGCAGAAAATTTAACATTATTGCGAACGCGCCGAAGACAGCTGATACCGAAATTTTGGAACTATTCAAAAATCCATACAGCGCGCCAATCTAAATTTGTATCGAGAATTACATAAAATAAGGCGCGATGAAATGAAGGAATTGGTGTCCAATGTTCAAAATTTGGTGCGCTTTTACTATATTCAAGTGTAGCTTGTATTTCAAGCGCCTTTTCTAAAATTCAAAATATAAACAATACGATTTCATCGCTTATTCAACTGATTACAAAATATATTTATTCATTTTGAGCGCCCTTTTTAATGTGATTTTCAGTAAACACAGTTTAAAGCGTGTATTCGCGCTACGTTTTTAAAGAGGTATATATTGTCAACGATATGATATTCTCAGTACATTCAGAACGCATATTTTCATTATCGTATAAAAATATGTCTACAGAATTGGTGAAAAATCGTAATTTTGTTCGATTCATCTACACACTCAACGAAATTAAGAACAATGGCATGGAAAATCTAGTTTTCGAATCACGTACAGAATTTTTGAGACAATTCTGAGTCAAAAACTTCCAGGGGCGTATGTATACAATTTGCACCGGGACGCTGTGAGCGCTCGGACAGGCACCGTTCCGTTGTGGTCAGTGATGGCCATGTCCATTAGAATGTGTTCATTCATCTGACATTAGGGGCAATCTCTTTTGTTTAGCAGAATTTAAAAAATGATTAACCCAAAAAAGTACGGGAAATATTTGATGAATTTCATATGAAAAATTGATGTTAATGAATGAACTTCGTCTGATATCGATTTATCTTCGTTTGATATATGTGCTTGTGCATGGCCACACGCGATGTTAACTCAATTAAATTATGATTAATTTCAGAAAACAAACAGGAAAACACTTGTACCGCCATTGATTAGCGATGTGGCCACAACTTCTACCATCTTTCGTTTAGTGTACAAAAGGCATGGGGTTTCAGTCGATGGTCAGCAAACATTTTCCACATTATTGCGCATACAAATGAAGTGGTTGGTCAGTTTGTTCAAACATGGAATCGCACGTTTTCAAAAATACTTCGAATTATTCAGAATTGATAAAAAATACAGTGAAATTTATTTAGAATAAATTGCACATGAATTATAACCGAATAATATATTTTGGACTGAGAATTTTAGAAATTGATTAAAATTTCAGTCATTAGGCAATCATTCATATGCAAATATCCTCATAGTATTTCGAATATTTATATCTAATTCATTTTCCGTCCAATTTTTTTTTTCAGAGTTCCCATTCGAAAAGGCGTTCGTGGAAAATTCCGGTGTAAATTTAAAAAAAACCGAAAATGTCATGTAAAACACAGTATTAGAACACATGTCGACAATTTCAATTTATTGAGCAATTTTCGGATACAAAACCAACAGAAAAAAAAACACAAAATTGCTAACAAAATGGCCAAAAACGGTGCACAGATCAATGATTTGCCGGACCAGCATTTGATTACAGTTTTTCAATATATTACTGGTTTGGAAAATATGACCGACAATGAGCTTAGTAAACCGATACTACGACCCGGTCTATATGACACATACATTCTGTTCATTATACAGTATGCACTGCTGTCGGTAATTGGAATGGTGACAAATATTTGGATCATTTATTATATTGCTCGTCATAAATTGTATCGTGACAATACGCACGCGTTTTTCATCAATTTAAGCGTATGCCATTTCGTTCAAAGTGCTTTCGTATTGCCCGTAACCCTTGTGGTAATCATAGTGCACAACTGGATTCTCGGACAATTTATGTGCTATTTCGTGCCGATGTTGCAGGTAAGCCACAAGTTCATCATCGACGTAAATTTGATGTTTCTATTAATTTTCGTATTAAATTAGTTCGGTGGGTTTATTGGTTACAGAGTCTATCGAATATGTCACGAATGATATCAAACTATTAATGATGGAATACACTCACATTACCACACATGGAATAGATATTGGAATTAGATTCGCCTTAATCAAAGCAAAACCCAACCAAACCAAACACATGTGTGCACACATACACACAATCCACCGAGTGTTTGCACAAGGATAACCGAAATTCCGTCGTCACTAATCCGATCACGAAACAAGATTGCAACTTGTTGAAAACTCGGTTGTTTCAGTGTGAAGATACGATTTCATCAGCTTGTTATCACTCACATATCAAAACATCAGTAACATTTCCCGATGAAAAATAACAGTGATGTTGGCATTACATCGAGTCGCATGTCGAAATCTAAGGGATTTATGACGAGACGTAAAATAACTCTTTTCGAATTGCTTGAAAATGCGAAATCGTGATACGTTATGAGGAAAAGAAAAATTAAGTTTTGTAGAATTATATGATGGCTTCGGAAAATGTGAATTGAGAGTGAAAAGCTATTCGCAGTAAAAAAAAAATTATACGACCTTGTTAATTCTTCTTCAGTCGAAACAGTACAAACTTAGAGAAGCCAATCACCTTTTTATCCGAAAAATGAATTATAATTCTTTTAAAAGAATAAATAAAATTTAAAAGTCTTTTAAAAGAATAAATGATAAACTTTATTTATTTCATGCTGCAAATCAAAACGAGTTCTGGGAAAAAGAAATTCATTTCAGTAACAAAATGTATTGCAGTATGTACAATGTACATGTACATCCAAGATTCAGGAATATGATACTTCTGTTTAAAAATGAACATTCGAAACGAATTCGATTGAAATCAAATTGATTGTATGTCATTGGATGTAAAGGTGTCAATAGGACAGATTTAGTCCGTCCGTCCTTTCGTGATTTTTTTTCGGACGGACAATTTCATTTTGTCCGTCCGTTTCGAATTCCAGGACGGACAAATTTATGTTGTCCGTCCGTTTCGAATTCCAGGACGGACAGTTTCATTTTGTCCGTCCGTTTAGAATTCCAGGACGGACAAAATGAAATTGTCCGTCCGTTTGGGATTTAGGACGGACGGACGGACATATTTTTAGGACGGACGGACAAAATATATCAAACGGACGGAAACGGACAATTTTTAAACGGACGGACAAAAATTTGTCCGTCCTATTAATGATTGGTGTCCAAGTTATCATTAGCAAAACTGGGACAAAATGAAGACGATGCGATTAGTTTTTTGTAAGTTGGAGTTAAGAATGTACGTATTATTTTTGATTGAAAAAAAAAATTGAATAAAAAACAAACAATGTTCATGTAAAAAACAGTGTTTATTCAGTTTTTTTCCGTGTATTCTCTTCCCAATTTTTTCATTTTTTTGATTGAAAAAAAATTGAATAAAAACCAAACAATGTTCATTTAAAAAACAGTGTCTATATTTTAATTGATGCTATACCCGTATTGCTTTCATTTTGATTGACGTCAGGTCCTTCATTCATCAAGTCGTTATAATTTACATCGATATAGGATTCGATTTCGCTATAATTTGCAAAAATTAGTTTTTTATTAGCATGAATTTGTAGCAGTTTTAAACACAAGCTTCGTATGTATTCAGTACTTCAAATGAAAAAAAAAACAATAATATTTGTGTAATGGAAATTTCTCGTTCATCCTGAAATTGAATATAATGGATCTTTACGTGTGCTATTGTTTTTAAGTGTGCAACAAAATGAGTGGAAGTTCAACTGTGGAACACCGGTCAAGACTCATTGGTTTCCACGGTATTGTGAGCGTTTCGTGACTTGGCGCATCGAGATAAATTTTCTATTGCATCAAATCAAATATTTAATTTTTCCCTCTTCTTTTTCTATTCGATCACTGTGGTTCATTTTTTCTCATTCTTTCATGAGCAATCGTATGGTCTCCTAATGTGATAACGAACATCAATCATTGATAGGACGGGCAAATTTTTGTCCGTCCGTTTCCGTCCGTTTGATATATTTTGTCCGTCCGTCCTAAAAATATGTCCGTCCGTCCGTCCTAAATCCCAAACGGACGGACAATTTCATTTTGTCCGTCCTGGAATTCTTAACGGACGGACAAAATGAAATTGTCCGTCCTGAAATTCGAAACGGACGGACAATTTCATTTTGTCCGTCCTTGAATTCTAAACGGACGGACAAAATGAAATTGTCCGTCCTTGAATTCTAAACGGACGGACAAAATGAAATGTCCGTCCTTGAACCCCAAAACGGACGGACGGACACGAAATGTCCGTCCGCTGTCCGTCCTATTGACACCTTTAATTGGATGCACAAATTTCGTTTAAGAAATTAATAAAATGTTACAAATGTCATACATTTCTGATGTTTGAAGAAGGCGGCCGATCAATGAAATGATGTCAAATTATTTCCGTTATTGGTATTGTGCTGTGGATGAAATGTCAATATGGTATACATCCCGTTGATATGAAGAGGCATATCAATCACAAGCAATCAACGTTTCGGGCAAAATTCAATCAAACATATGTTCTGAAAACAAACGTTGGATAAATCGTAGCTCTTTATATCTGAGTGACAAACATCATACACGCATATAATGAAAGTTGTGTGGGTGCGCACAGGGAAAATCACAAGTGTTGAAATATTGTGCTCGATGTTTATTCTCCATAGAGAATAACGTTTCCGTTGAACTAATTTCATTTCTTGGAAGAGAAAAAGAGAAAAGAAATCACATATCGGAATGAAATTCATTCTTTTTTCTTTTGACTGAAAACTCTCAAGAAATATTTGTAAAAAACAACTTGCACATCATTGGATCTCTGAGAAAAAATTTCGTTTCCAGCATGACTTTTTTGCATTTCCATATTCCATTCAATTGAATATTTTCTATTTTTTCACATTGCTCGCTTCATTTCATGCGTTGTCTGACCTTTTTCCGAAGCAATTGTTATGAATAGCACTTCGAAGAAATGTCGATGTTATCTTCAATACCGTATGGTATTCTATTGAACGTGATGAGTTGAGCCAAAGAAAACAATGAAATTCACGAAATTGAATCCAACCGCAAGCCATTTGAATGGTTGATCGTGAAAAAAAAGGTAGAACAACACGAAAAATTGATATGTGTATTCATAGGCACGAAAAAAAGGAAAAAAAAGATTTGTTTAGATTGATGGTCGCAAAATATGCAAAAACAACATGATTTTTTTTCCCTTGTCCGTTTAGGTGCTCAATTTGTTATCAGTATTTCCAATGCTTCGAGAAACTTAATTTTCTTGTTCCACCTTTCGCCAACGACGGCATATTCAATTTAGTATTACAGAATGCGGCAAAGATCTCCCAAGCAAAAATCCACACTGATTTGACGTTGCGTTAACGCATATCTGACACTGTTCCCACACGGTTTTGAACGTCAAACCGTGTGGCTATAGTATAATAGAGTGTGAAGCCGTTTGACATCATTTTTGATTTCGAATAACCGTGTGGATGCAGTGTAAGTTTGTTCAGGTATCAAGAGTTGACATCAAAAATGGTGTCAAACGACTTCACACTCTACTATATTATAGCCACACGGTTTGACGTTCAAAACCGTGTGAAAACAGTGTCAGATATGTGTAAACGCAACGTCGATTCAGTGTAAATTTTTGGTTGGGTCTATGTATAAGAAAGCTCTTAAAGTTCTATTTTGGTGCGATGAGTCGATTGAAGTGTGTTTTTCTCAGTTGACATTCATTTTTTCTCTTCTCTTTATACGGGTGAAATATGAATATGTTAAAAAAAGGAGTGAAAAATTGCATTACAGTAAAAGCTTTTAATGCTGCGATGGTGTTTTTTTATGTCTTCCATTTATTTATCGCTTGAATTCGGTCCACTTCACATATACTGCGTCTTTTTTGCCTTCACTCTTACTCTGTTCCATATCACAGTAACGGTTCTTGGCAAAGATTCTTTGCCGAAGAGTCATATTTGATTAGAAAACCCTCAATTTTTGCTAATGGACAAGAAATTAACTCTTACTCCGTTTCGGTTGGTACAAAGTGGAAATTAGCAAAATTGCACGACAAACAATTTGTGTGTTGAATCGTCAGTTAAGGAAGTTCAAGGTTGAATTGCGACTCTTTTTCCAGTCCTTATTGTAATAACTGTGTGTTTATATCCATGAGGAAGAAGTAGACCGTGCAAATTTGTGTCTGTTTTTTTGAAAATGAAAAGGTCAATTTAATGATAAAAAAATGGACATTTCGACACTTGTGCAAACGATTTGAATATATTTGTTGCTTGGGCTTCGTTTCTCAAGAAAGAAAAAATAGAAATGGCCACAAAAAATGCTTCGATTTCAATGAAACGAACAATATTCGTAACGTAGCGACGTATTTCCCAATTACAGCTTCGTTTTTTTCAAATTCGAATCTCACTTTGGACATTCAGTTAGTCCTCTTTTTGTAATCGATAGCCGAAGAATTGATTCTTTGTGATGAAGAGCATGTCTGCTTTTTCACTGCAATGGGTGGCCATTTTTTTTGTAAGTGTTGTTGTCGTTGATATGTTGTCACGCAAAAAACTACGATCCAATAGTTTGACAGTACAATATATTTTGTCTGTCATTCTTGAGACACAATTGATATGTGTGCATGCATCATGGGTGCTTAATATTTTTTGCCTTTGACATATATACCTAGCTGTCAAGTCGAAATTTAATACCACAAACCGATTTATTGAGCTACTGAAGTGATTGCAAACGAGTTGTATTTCAAATGTATTCAAAGCTGTTCGCTCATCGTTCGACAGAAAGCAATCAAGTGATGTGGGAAAAGGATATCAAAATGGAAATATACTCAAAACATTTTAGTTGGAGTGGCACACACAAGTCGTCTTCCATACCTTTGGGTTTGGTTGTGCTTTTTTGTCTCTTTCAACATGGCTAATTATTGTTGAAAACGACGATGTTTTATGCCATCCATAGGTTTACACAGTAAACTTTGATGTTATTAGAAACGATGCAAAGTTCCATGAAAATTAGGCAAAGGTTACCGTATGGACCATAAGGTAACCGTATGGACTCTGAGATAATGTATGCTATGGTAATCGAATCGTACGTCTTAAATAATAACACCATTCAAAACTGAAACGTGTCATCTTGGAATGCTTGACTCTGCGTTTTGATAAAGTTACAGAAATTCGCTGAGCTCTGTCTATGTTCACGGAGCTAAAATCAAGTTGGTGTAATAAATAATTGCATAAATGCGCATAAAAATGAGTTGGAAATTTTCGAGCGAAATTCATTCGCAGAATTTTCAGCTCGTCATTTGATGATGTTGAAAAACTGTCAAAAGAAAGAAAGAAAAACAAATCAGTCGTCTTCATCCAGCTGGATTGTTTTAACCTCGGTGCGGCTGCGGGATGTTAGATACTACGATTGTACGTCCCAGAAAAGTAAAAACCACAAGCAGATAACGAAAAATAAAGCGCACCCAACGAACAAACAAATTATGTTTGGTGACATATTGAGTGTATGTGTTCATCTTTATGGTTTTTCTATTCCGTAAAAATATTAAAGCAGCAGGGGAGCATTGGTGTGTGCCTGTCGTTATCCATTCGCATGCAGAGTTACAACCAGAGACTGCATATTTGCTGTTGAGTAGGCCTGAGCTGAGCTGAATTTGCTAACTCAGGCGCCTGAAGCGTCATTTTAACGCATTCACAGTACAAAATTCATATTCCCATCCAGATTTGCCAAGTCAAATTTGATGCTGATCTGGATGGGAATATGAATTTTGTACTGTGAATGCGTTAAAATAACGCTTCAGGCGCCTGAGTTAGCATATTCAAGTCAGCTCAGGCCTACTCAGCAGCAAATATGCAGTCTATGGTTACAACTCGAGTTCGGAGTCAAAATGAACAAAGCCATACGCGCCGATGACAAATGTTTGTCTGTTGAAAATGAAGCATTTTCGAATCGAAGTGAAGTCGCTTTAGTCATGTCATGTTATTTTTTATCCTGTCGTCGTTGTTGCTGTGTATTACTGATGGCATCCGAATGATGTTTACCGTTCACAGCGTACACTGCTCCATTTCAAGTTGCACACTCCAAAGTAGAAAAAAAAATCCAGAAAGAAAACACAGTATGACAATGTACGCAAGTGGATCCATAAATTTCGCATGATTTGCACGAAGTGACTGTATTTAACTTTGTTTCCAATGCGAGAGACTACGACATGAATGAGACTTTTCACATTTTCACACACACACACACATTCACGCTTTTTTATCCAGTTTGTTCGCTCATCGTCATCGTCCGTTCATCGGTTTCACATGAACAACATGATGGTTGACATGGTTGAAGATGTGTGAAAGTGTTTGGTTAGCACAGAAGTGAATGAAACCCGTCGACTTAGCTTTTGTCAATTTCATTTTTTTCACCACACACTACCTTTATTTATCATCATAAAATGCGCATCGTGTTCAAATTAATGTTTTATTCACACATTGTTGCCATGTCGCACGCTATACATAGCATCCGAAGCATGGAACGTGTTTAGCAAGAAAAAATCGAAGCGCCATGCGACGCTGAAATGGGATTGAAAATAAAATTTTACAAAAGCTATTTACAGTGGAATGAAACAAACACCATGTGAGAAACGCTTGTTGGAAAACAAATAAAACGAAAAAATAAACAAACAAATTTGCGCCTCAACAATATTTGACCATGGGTGGCTCAATGTGATAGTGATTGCATTAATTATGTATTTGAATGTGTTCGAATCATTTGTCAAATGATGATATTCGTGACATTTTGCAACGGATCCTCGTCAACATTGATTGTTGTTATTTCCATAACATTCATAGCGTTGGGATGGACATCTATTCTATGGTTTCACTTGAAAAGTGCTACTCTCTCTCTCCCACGCACACAAATATTTATTATAGGTGGTGAATAAAAAAAAAAATCTCGGGAGATTTTTGCTTTTCTGTAACTGTCATCAATCATTTTAAAAGGGATTCAAAAAGTTAAATTAACCATGAAATTCTCACTTATTCCCAGAAAATATGTTTTACGCTCGAAAATATTTCGTTTCCAACTGGGCATGATATAACATAATAACCGTTTGATAGTTTCTAGCTTCAGCGAGAATGCCAGAGCCAACAAATAATAAATTAATGTGATTTTACGCAAATCCCAGTCCGGAATTTCAAAGAATAAATTTTTAATTAATGTTTTGCTCTGATTTGATGTTTCTCCACAGGATATTCCTCTACATGCCGCGCTGCTGACGCACCTATTGATTGCATGGGACCGAATGCGATGGCTAAACGATCCAATGAATTCGCGGTTCCCAGCTTTCGTGTGCAGCTGTGCCACGTGGCTGACTGGCATGGTTATCGCATTGCCCTATCCCATTTACACTACGTATCTCGATCTTGGAGTGAGTATATTATTCATTTTTTGCTAATAGCTTTTTATTCCGATGAATTTTCCTTGATTGCGCTACTTGAATATTCTTTGATTCTTTTTATATTTTAAACGATTGAAATCATCTCACATGAACGATGAGTGAGAGTGAAGATGGCACTTTGGTTCTTATCTTCAGCTCTCGTCTATAGAAATATTATGGTAAATTCCCAGAAGGAAGAGCATGAGGTGAGACATGTGGTGCCATTCTCATTCTCATTCAGTTCATATACAAATTGACTAGTTAGAATGACAAACGATGGAATCCCAAATGTCATTTTTGTTTTATTGAGTGCAATACTACGACTAGCACTAATGCAATGTGTTGCTTCTCATTAAAACTGTAATAATGCTGATGAATTGCACTTTGGGATTTCCGCTTGCAAATGTGCTGTGATTTTTTTTTTCGGCAAGAGAATTTTGCTAAACTGGAGGTTTATCCATATGAATGTTTGCATTTTGTGTTTCGCAGTTGTATTTCCAGAGATTCCATGATGTTGGCATATGTGTTGTGAATCTGGTGGATGACAGTCAAGAATACACACGAGGACTATTTTTCCTAATGTAAGTATATTGTGTTCGGCCACAATTCCAATTTATATATAATCACGTTTTACGGTTTTTTATTCAATTATTCTAATTGTGCTGTGTCTTCATTTTCTTCTCGCTTCAACACGCAAATAAAACCAACAAACCAATGACTATCATTCATATCGAAATATGGATTGTCTTTAATATCCTCGTTGTGATGTTATCGTATCAAATAGGTATATCGCACCGAGTGTCATACTAGCCTATCTATACATACATACGGCGAAAGATCTACGGCCTCCGGAAGGTGAATTAAGTGTGATGATGTATGAGCAAAGGGCCGATATTATAGCTCACCGCCATCAACGGTAAGTAACTAAATTTTTTTTGACTAGATACGTATGTTTCTGATGGGTATTTCATCTGTGTTCAGTAGACTAGATTGACGATGAGAACATTGAAGATGAATATCTCCTGAGAGCATTTGCCACTTCGTTCACCACATGCATGAGATGTTTGACATAACCGAAATAGCAAGAGCAAATGCTTATCCTTGCTACATCAATAGCCCATATTGTGCTCGGTCCTTTTGAGTTCAGTGAACAATGTGAGTGAAAATTTTGACGATTATTGTGTGCGAATGTTCACTTCCACACTCAATCACCAACCTCATTCGGATTCATTCACACTGAATATTAATTGGAAAATCGCTATCGTCACACTTCGAATGAAGTTAAAACCGAATGGCAAACACTTGGAACGTGTTGTTTTGTAATTAGACACGTCGTGGAATTTGGCGCGTGCTCTCATTGATTTGCTTAGGTCAAATGAAATTCAATGAACTTGGTAGCTTCGGCATCGTGTTGTCTTAGTTCAAACAAACCATATTTAATCATAATCCAGATTGTCTTGTTCATGCACATGACTGAGCTTAGTTATTCTGTTCTTGGCAACAGTGTCTCTCACAGTCGAAATTCACTGAAATGATTCATTATTTATTCACACTGTAGATTTTACAGTCGTTTTGTGTGTCTCTTCTATCTCTCTCTCACACCATTTATCATGACACACACGAACATACACAGTTTCCATTATTTGCACACTTCAGCCGCATGCAACTGTAAATTTCCGTCGATAATGTTTCGTATTTGTCTCTTTGCGTATTTAAGAAGACATTGTACTGTGTGTATCTGAATTCTGAATAAATCGACTGTGTGATGCGTATTTTCAAGGCGTTGGCTATATCCCAGACGCACACACGTATAAATTAGAATGATTTTACAAGAATTCGTAAGATAAATTTATTTTGTGTGTCTTTTGTCATAATTTTGTGTTGGGCGCCGTCGCCGTCAGGTGCATTTATGTCACAAATCGGTATGATTTAAATTCGTAGACAAGCATTCGTTTTAATTTCGCAATGGTTACATTTCTTCGAACACATTACTGGGCCTTGGTGTGTCAGGCAACTGGTGTACAATTTACAGAGGCGGAGAATGCTGAAGCTATGCAGAAATCGTCTCAATCATCATCCAAGTATGTATGTAATTTCAGTGTGAAAATTGAGAAGTGCGACATGTTATTGTCGCACACCATAATATCTTCTGACACATTTGCCTTATCGAATGATAGTGATACCGTTGCTAAGCAATGCACAGAAGTAGAGAACAGAATAACATTATGAACAATCCGATGGGCTATTTCACATAAACTTCTTTTCGGTGCCGTCACAGACAAGAAAATTCAAAGAAAACAAAGTCGAGGAAATGTGACAATCGTAAAAAAAGGTCCAATAACCAAATATACATAAAGCCCAAGCATTTTGTCAATGCCACCAGGGAACCATTTCTCGCAAGGAATAAGCATCTATCTCTCTCTATCTCTCTCTATCTCTCTCTATCTCTCTCTCTCTCTTTCTTTTCGCCGTTTGTATTTCCCCCTCTATCTTTCGCTATCGTTTCAGATCTATCTCATTTTTACACACTTCGTTGCAACCAATTTTGCCTTGGAGATTTTCTTTAATAACAATATATGGCGATGATTTGCGATATTTTCATGTACATTATTTACAATTTAACGATGGAAAAGTCTAGCAAATGTTCTTGCTAAGCTCATTATAATGAATTTTGAGAAAAGATCATAATTATTGGCAATATTGGCACAATAAAGGGGTCTGTGTTGCTCAATTTGAGTTACATATTCGTCCATTATTTATTTCATTTTTCATCCATAGCAACAATCAGACAATATTTTGATGGAAAAAAAGAAATCGCTTGCGGCACGACACACAAAGTATCCACAATGGAAGAGATCAAAGTAAAATATTCTGAAATGTTCAATAGTTTTTTTTTTCGCAATTGCATTTTTCAATGCTAGTGGTTTTTCATTGACCCAGAAATTCCAGTTGAATAAATTCGCGTATGAAATGAGAAAATATATTTTTAGCGATCAGATCCGTTTGAAGTTCTTTCTTTTTTTCAGCAATAAATTGCGATTTTCCCAACCCTATTGTTTGCTGGGTTGTGTTGCATTCCATTCCCGAAAGGAATCAATTATGTTAGATATGCGAAGTCCATAAAAACTGTTTCACATTAGACGCGTGAAACCATTTGTGAACAACACAGCAAACAAGTTGTTTGAAACAACAACGACGACGACGAGAGATTCATTCTGGAATCGCAATAATGAATAAATGAATTCTCGTAAATTGTATCGCACGTTTTGCAGCACTTTGTTTCTTAAATCCGTGCAATTTATTTGATATACAAGTTTCATTCCAACACAAATACACAACATACATTTATGTTTTCTTGGGAATTCGTAAGAGTACAGTTGTCGAGACTGAAAAATAATAAGCAAAATCGAAACACAAGGAAAGAATTTTATGTCAGATTGAACGAAAGCGTGCTCCTTCCGCGTCGGAAAACTGTGTAGAACTCAAACAAATTGAATACATTCAAATAAACAGCAGGAATTGATGGCTGCTATCACAGCGACGACACAACTGCGTGCTCCTATAAATACGCGTGTTTGTTTGACTATGTGATAACTGATGATAATAATGGAAAATAATTCTTTTTGCATTTAATACATATATATGAGAGAGTCGGCGTAATTTTGAATCCTACGCCATCAAGATGCCTGTAGACATAACAGAGACAATTATGTTCTGTTTGTTCCGTATTTGTCTCGTGGCGGTTTATTTCGTGAATTGAGAGCAACAAATGTTCATAAGCAGTGCCGTAGCGTCCAAAGAGGCTCTCGAGGCTCAGCCACTCCAAAAAATCTTTACGCCAAATGAGAGCCAAGATAATTTTTGGCGCGCTTGCAATAACATTCAACATTATAATATTGATTATAACACACTATTTTGAGAAATTACAATGATTGTAGAATCAGTATTAAATCGTAATTTTTTCTAGTCTTTAGGGGAATAGGAACAAGGGCTTGGAAACATTTTAAGTGTAGCTCCCAAGTCCCAACGAATATTGCAATTTTTGCTCAATTTCATGGTAATTTGGGAATATTTGTATGGAAGCTACCACCATTTAAGTTTCGATCTACCTGAAACATTCATATAATTCAATTTATACTGAAAAAAATTGAGATTCTGACAGTTTCGTGGTGATTGTAATACACATCAGAAGTGGGTTTTTTCAGCCACATAGTTTGGTGGAATTCCCTTGGACCAAGTTCCAAACTTTGAGGCCAATGCGCCACATGTAAACATTATTTAATGGAGCTAAACATCCTCGTCTAATACCATTGATTTTACATACAAAATTACAACAAGAAACGACAAAAGTGACCTCTCGTAGCGGCACAGTTGAAACTAACGAAACAAATACAATTGAACATGTCATTTTCATGTTCAATGTTGGTTCTGTTGTTTACCGTATAGCCGGAGAGAGATGTCTACAGCTTAGTGGCATTGAATGACATTCAACAACCATGGAGCTAAAAATTTAAATGACTCATTTTTTGAGCCAACCTATGAAAATGGATTACCACCTGTAAAATTCGAAAAAGTGCGAAAAAACACCCTGCCTTGAAGTTTTGTGGCTGAGCTACCCCAAAAAAAATTCGTCACGCTATGGCACGTATATGATTCTTATACGATTTTTCTATGTTCGTTGAAATTTATTGCAGCATATCATTATTCGAGTCTGTAATATTCCAAAAAAAAACACTGCTGTTTCTGTGGGAGACGTAGACAAATACCGAAATGAAGAAATTGTACATAAAACTCAGTGTGTGAGCTGGAATGCATGAATGATAAAATTTGGTTTGTCATTGTTTAAAGGGACTCATCTCTGGTTTCAACTGGGAGTCTCATACTTGAGCAGATAGGCTCATTGTTTGGAAATCGCTCCACAATACTGTTAGTATGCGAGATTGCATGTAGTAGATTGTATGAGTTCGTTAGAGCATAGCTGGAGGAGAAATTCCGTCTTTCCGGCTTGAGCATAATATGACTTTTGGACGCTGAGATACCATATTATGCACGCAATTGTTTGCTCTTCCAAAAATCTGTAGTTGACCTGGAATTCGAAATTCATCACTTCTTTCGGCGGTGGAACGTACGGGTTGGATAAAAACAAATTATTAAAAATTCAAAAAAATCGTATCTCTATGAGTACGATATACTCCAGCTCATACTGTGACTAAGCCAAAGGGAGTCTCCTTCATCAATATCCTTTCTTTATTTTTTATAATAATAATATGGTGTCGACGCAAAATATATATGTTTCGGATGTGTGATTGAAGCCTTAAATTAACATCTGGAAAATCAAGTGAAAAACATGGCGAGAGTGTGCCCTCGTGTGGAGCATATTTTACATGCAGACTCTCTATTAAAGAGTGTTCCACATTTTCATATTCTATTAACATTATTCAATTTTGAGCGTTGTGGTGGAAAAGGTGATAAGGAGATAGAGTAGCAGTACACGGTACGACACATACATACATTCGCATACACACAAGATAATAATTAACATTGTGAATTTCCCTCGACATTTCCTGAGTCGTGCTTCACTTCAATAAAGCGTGAAAGTGAAACATTTCCACAAATAAGCATACATAAAATCATTATGGCGCACATCACTGTTGGTTTACGTGATTGCAAGAGGTTTTTTTTCTGCAGCCCGTTAATTATCGGATGTTATTCGATAGGAAATGTGATACGAACCGTATTAATATTCATTTTATGCGTGCTTGTAACATATGTATGTGTCGCATAGATAATCCGCTTCTACCCGAGTGGAAATGCCTTTGCTTCTAAAAAGCAATTCATCATCGGACAGTTTTGCTTCTTTTTTCTGAATTTCCATCAAAATATTGCAGCACTCCTGAATGCTCCTGAATTGCTTCG